GACAGATAAACCATTAGGAAATAATAAAGTAAAGAAGGAAATTTGGGCCCAAGTCTGATTTTCTGTCCGCCTGGGCCAGCACTTGGGCCTAATTTCATTTTTTGCCCCAATTCTTGCCACCTGTCCTAAATTCTAACAAGACAACAATAAGCATAATAACAAGGGCTTAGGCCCAAAAATAACAAAAATACAAATTTTTGGAATTAAGAGTGGGCCTTTGGCCCAATCTTTTCAAATTTTAGATCTGCTGCGATATTTTTTAACCCCGGGACCTGTACGTCGATTTTCATTGGCCGGTTGACTCGATAAAGGAATTTGAACCTTTATGGCTCTCTCAAAATTGCGGGGAAATGAAAAGAGTCCAATTTGGACTCCGCCAAACATCACATGTAAAGAAAGTGAAAGGAAACAAGATTAGTAATCTCTTAAATGCCTTCTAAAAATAAAGTTGCATAAAATAAAATAAAAATAAAAAATAAAAAAAACATTACTCAATGAATATGACAATTGACAAAATGTTCCCAACTTCCAGTTGGCTTCCAAACAGAAGACGAGGATATGTTTGTTCAAAAATGTGAAAATCATGAAGATATTGACGAATCCATATACAGGGAAAATTAAAAATAAAACCTTGAGGCCCACTTCCCCAACATGCTAAATTTTGACCGGACTACATGAATATTTGAATTCATATGGCGTTCTCAGAAACAATAAGTAACTAGTTTTGGAAAGGAAAAAATGAGTTTAACACTCGGAAATTCCAAACCAATAGCATATGATTAAATAAATTGCACGAGTATAATTCAATTTGGCTCGCATAACCAACTAATCTACCACAATTAAAACAAAAGTTATTACCAACTAAAGCAAACACACTTCATTATTGTTTAAGAAAGGAGTAAGATTCACACCGATTTGAATTTATGGAAAAGGCAAACACTAATCATAAAATAAGCACATTATTATTTTACTATCAAAAGGGGGGCCCATATCTGAAACTTAAATACTAAATAAATAATCAATGTCTATGACTAAACAACAAGTAATCAACTGGGAATTAAAGAAGATGACAAAACAGTAGCTAAACATAGATCCAAAGACAAAACAAGAACGAAACTGAGATGGACAAAGAGGATGAATCAGTAGCTATCCAAATAACTACAGAAACTATATAATACTCTAATAAACATGAGAGCATGCTGAAAAATGGAGAAGTATGCGAGATACACGGACAACCATACACTAATACTTATATGCTCATAATCGACTGACACATTAAAGCTATCTAGTTATCAAGCAAATGCTAATTTTGAATGCAAAACAGGACCACATTAATGAACAAATCCTATTCTTAGCAAAGAGTAGGCTGCAAACTAAGACATAAAAAATGTCAGGTAACACTAGCAATTTGGGAATGGGGGACAAGAATTAGAAGTAAAGTGTAAACTGGGAAGAGGCAATACCCCACATTTTATAAACCTGAACTACAAGTTGTAAGTATTTTCGACCAGATTTTAAGTAAAATGAAGGCGTAAACTCGAGTCAAACATGCTTAGCTAGGCAGTAGAACAACATGAGTCATGAAAACGACAAAAAGGAGTTACTACATCAACTAACAACATATAAATCTCACATTGGTTAGCTTTGATATTCTGATGTTAATTTGAAAAGAAAAGCGTCATTAACAGTAGCAAAACCGAATAAAACTATTGACGCTAAGAGACAACAAGAACAAGAAAATGCGGATCGATAGTGTCAAACAAATGTATGCAAAGCAAGATAGCAACAACAATTCCAACAAAAGAGCAGAGGCAACAATGACAAATACATAACACAAAATTAATTTGACATTAAGACTGAATCACTGAAACTGATTAAGAACAATACACCATATTAAAATATCATTAACTAGGCACCTAACAATGAACCAGCCACAAAATAGAGGCTTTCCCAATATCAAAAGATCAACATAAGAAAAGAGACGAAGAGGGTGCTATTGAGGGAGGGGTGTTACCTTTTTCGGTGCAACGACTGGACAATGACGAGCAGATGAGCAGCGATTTTCCACACAAACGCGAGGCACAAACAAATAAATAGCGGACTCGAGCAAATCTCAACCCCAACCGAGCTTTGAAGAAGCACCGGCAGCGAAACGAAAACAGAGAAAACTTAGATTCTTCTCTGCTTTCTCAATGTTTTTAGAACGTATTTCAACTACTTCGCTTAAGCTGTTTAGGTATTTTTTCTATAAAAAATATACGACTGAAAAATCCCTCTAACTTTTTCCAATGTTTTTCTCTAAACACAAAATTCTCCACCCGAAAAATATCCAATCATTCTCCCTCCTCCTAGTGAATAACCAGCAACTAATATATAAAATTCCCTTCGGAAATGGGGGGAAAGGCCAATTTCGGTAAGGACAAAGGCCCAAATCGAAATTCAAAATCCAAAAATCTTTCACCAATTAAGGCAAACAAACTTTACTCTGAAAATTTGCCTAATTCCGAAAGAGGAAAGGGGGTAGGACACGTGCCTCTTTCTTGTTGTTGCAACATTAATGGGGATAGAGACGTGAGAGGAAGAAGACAACGAAGTTGCTGTCTTCTGTTGTACGAGTGCAGGGCATGAGGTTGCCGCTGCTGGTCGCGAGTTGCTTTCCGTGTATTTTGACGGAATCGCTCAGAAAAGTTGACGTTGCATTCACCCCGTCTGGAAAATAGACGTTGGTTGCTGGATGGTGTCTCGTACTGCTGCTAATTGATGCTGAAGAAGTTCTGGGTTCTTCTTTGAATTGGACAAGGATTTGGGTCGGGTCTTTAGGGGAGAAGGTGGGCTGGGAATTGGATTAAACTGTTGGATTTCTGAAGGGATATGGGCTGGCTGGGATGGGCTGCTGTAAATTAGAAATTAGAGTGGAGAGAAAAAAAAAAATTAGTGGGCTGGAACGTATGGAGGGGCTGGGAATTTTAGGAGTTGGTTGTTTTTTTTGCTGAAAATAAAGGAATGGGTTGTCTATTTGGGCCAAAATTTGGTATTAAGAAGAATTAAAAGTGAAGTAAGAAAAATGGGGTTGGATTGGAAACTAGGAATGGCTACATGCACGTGATTATGGCCAAAATTAAAATTATGAAGCTAGCCGAATCGAAATTAATTGGTTGTTCGACCAAAACTAAATAAGACGAATTAGTATAAATTAAATAAAGAGCTTCTTAACTCCAACGAAATAAATTCGCAAACTAATTAATCTAAAATTATAATCACAAATTAAACACGCTTCTCGAATTAACGAAATAAAATAATCAAGCTAATAAGCTAAATAACATAAAATTATAAATACACTTTAAACCCAATTACTTCAATTGAAGATTTAATAAAAATCTTTTTGAGACGAATTTTGAATATTCTTGAAATATACTAATTATATGTCTAATTACATAAAATATAAGTATTGTCTAAAGATTATAATAAGTGACAAAAGTTATTTAAAATAACCTACAAACTATATATATATATATATATATATATTTTATTTTATTTAAAAAATTAATTATCTTAACTCGTTCAAAATTAGAGAAGCTCGAAATTAATTATTATCGGGGGGGTCAAAATTAGGTGTCAACAAGGGTTTCATTTGCAAAATTACAGGTAAGATTACTTTTCTTTTTCTTTTTACTGCCCCTCCGTCACAATATAGATCTCTTAATTTGATTGGACACGGAATTTTAAAAAAAATAAAGAGAAATTTTGTGGTTTTAAACTTGTCGTGTAGATTGTTGGAGTTGAAAAACACACTAAATATAGAAAGAGATTCTCTTATGGACAAATCAAAAAGGAAAGTAAGACACTTAGCTTGGGTTTAGATGCCATATGAAGTCCTGATTTCAAATCAATGTTTGGGCATGTGATTTGGAATCCCAAATTCTCCATATAAAAAAAACATGCTTTGAGATTCCAAATCCATGTTTTTGGAGAATGATTTCAGATTCTAATCTCAAAATCTCATATTCAAATATTGATTTGAAATCATGACTTCATATCGTATATCCGTATGCAAACTTAAATTAGAATATATATAAGGAATAGTATTTTTCGAGCTTTGCCTTCTCGGGTGATTAAAGAAACATAGTGTTTTTATTGTTGTGCAAAAATAATTAAAATTAATAAAATAAGGTATATATAATATCATAAAGAGAGTATACCCTAAATATAAATTCTATAATCTTGTATTCTCTTTATGCCTTATGTGACATAATCCATTCAAAAAAAAATATCACTTTTATATTAATAGAAGGAATTTAACTTTAAATTTTCTTTTGTACCCTTAATCAAATGATCATTTACAACTCCACACAAGTGTTTAAGGTTCTTTTTAGATCATAAATTTCAAATTTTGTTCTTTTCTTTCTTAAATTTTATGCCAAATCAAATGATGTCACATAAATTGAGACAGAAAAAAGTTTGATTTCTAAATTTCGATCTAAATAATTGTTCTTTTTATTGTAACATTTAGGGATGAGGCAGATTGCATCAAAAAGGTTGTTGACGAACTAATGTCATTATTACATATTAAATCTGATGACGATGGCGATCGGGGCATGGACGCTGAATCTCCAATTCTTATTGATGAAGGGAAAATGGTATTGTTTCTTTTATAATTTGAATTCATGACTAGCCTTCCCCATTCATAAGGGTTGTTAGGTGGCCTGTGCCTGGAACCAGGCCACCAAACATGTAGTTAATTATTGGCATGAATACAAATAAGTCTGACTAATTGTACAATGAAAATGACACTCATGGCTATTGATGTGTTTTATGTATGGTATAATGCGCGGCCAGTTGTAGCTAGTCATGTCAAGTGAGCTGGATTGGCATGTGCTGAGCCCAACCATACACCATAAGAATAGGCCAAACCCGTTACTAGCCCGGCCCATTCATAAGGGCTATTAAGTGGTCTATAACACCTTTTTCAAATTGTTTTATAATTTATAATGTCTTATGTTTGTGATTTGATATGTCAAATAGAGTTTTTCACGAGATAAGAAAACGGGAAAGAAATGTTTCATGATAGCAGCAAGAGGACTTGATATTGAATGGAGTAATACACCAGACTATTGGGAATGGTTACCTCATTCTGACTCCAGGTTTTATATATTTGCGGTATCTTATCTTTCTATGTACTAGTATAAAATTTGAAAGGAATTAGTAATAATTATTGATAAAGGTGAATTTTTTTTGTAGATTTGGGGAAGTGGCTAAACTCAAGTGGGTTTGTTGGCTTGATATTCGAGGCAAAATTGAAACTCGAAGACTATCAAAAAGAACCAAATATGTTGCTTATTTAGTGTTCAAATTGGAAGATAAATTCCATGGCCTTGAAACCGTTAATGCAGTTGTTAGATTTGTTGATTCTATGAGTGTAAAAGAAGCGGAACAACGAGCTAGTGTTGTACATTTTGCAGGACAAGGATCTAGAGAGACACTACCCTTCAAAAGAGCTGATGGATGGATGGAATTAAAAATGGGAGACTTTTTCAATGATGCAGGAGAAGACGGAGATGTTGATGCTCGATTAATGGAGACTCAGCGTCTCGAAGCAAAAGGTGGCCTCATTGTTCAAGGAGTGGAGTTTCGCCCCGAAGGTTCAAGGAGTGGAGTTTCAAGGAGTGGAGTTCCGCCCCGAATGAAGAAGAGAAGAATCCTCCTCTTACTATGCCTTATTGTTTTGGTCTTATTTGGATTGATTCAAGTACTTTTATAAATGGCCCTTCTAGATGAACGTATTAATCGAGAGAATTGAATTTGATTAAACAATGTGCCATTGGTAGTAAAGTCGATTTTTTAAAATATTTTAATATGATTCTATAAAATTTAATTTTGTTCAAAGATCGAGCTTATTTGCATCGACATTTAGTTGTTTAAAAAAAATATCATGTACAGTAACAAAGTGAGTTGATGCATACATCACTTGTCTATAGTAACAATTTCTACACTCAGCTTCGATCAACTCTTTTCCTCCCTCACTATTCTGAAAGGCCAAAGACTTGTCCAATCTATTGTCATATGATTAAGAGGCATGAGGTTCGAGATGTGGAAACATCCTTTCACAGAAATGCAAGATAAAATTGTGTATAATAGACTGTTCTGATTAGGCCCTTCCCTAAGCCCCTCGCATAACGAGAATTTAGTGCATCGTGATGCCCTTTATAATTTTATTGTCTATTGTGCAATTATTCTTTCGCCTTTTACTAAAGAATATTGTGTGCTCGCTGCAATCAGTGACATATGCCAATTTTTGGAAGGGTTCTCTTCATTGAGTGCCCCCTACAATTTTAGTTTCAATTTTTTTTGGTGTAATATTATACAACAAAATGTGGATTTAAGATATGTAATATGCATGGACAATCTAGAAGGTTCTTTTTAACCTAGATTGGTGACTTCCACCGCACTTAAGGAGGGGTGTCCACTTAAGGTCGGCCCAAATATATTATTTCTAGAATGGGTTGGCCCAAATGGACGAGCTTTTCGAAAAGGACAAAATTGTACTATACTTTCTAGAATGGGGACTACACAATTTATGTTGATTGGAATGAACTTCTTGGAAATTTGATGAAACGTCAATTATCAAAAGACCCCAGTATATCAAAGCCTAATCTTGAAAATATATGCAGGAAAATAAGAAAGTAATTAATAAAATTGAACAAAATAAATTATATGGTCATTTAGTTGGAAGATTCATGTGACTCCACCAACTTTATGGATGTAAAATTAATATAGCGCATGGAAATAAACCTCGTAGCTCAAATTTGGACAGGTTAAGTTGAATTGAATCGGGTAAATAAGTATCAAATAGATATTTGAGGTCGAATTTGAGTGTATGTATATGTATTTTGCTAGTTAACCAATTATATGTGGGGCTCAGGAGGAGATCGAACCACAAGAGTTTATTGTATATAGTCATAGAGATTGTTATTATGGCTCGAACTCGTGACTTCTTGATCATATGACAATAATTTTACCAATTATACTAAAACTCCCGTTCAAGACAATATTACACTAAATTAAAAATAACAAAAAAGATATCTTCTACGTTACCTATAATATAGAAAGTATAGACGTAATTTCATAATAGTATTAGGTTTCTTTATAACATGACTTTGAAACTTCAAGCATACCGCAATTGTAGCAAAACTCGTACGGAGTACGAACAATTCAACAACTTTGAAATATAAGCTTAAAAGACTTTGAACATAATTATTTTATTTTTTTGACAAAAATGACATAAAATTTAAAATAAATTTGTAAAATAAAGGACTACAAAATTAATTGAACGTTGAAGAATTGGCTAGATATTACTTCCTCCGTTTCAAAATACTTGTCACATATTATTTTTCGAGAGTCAATTTGACTAATCGTCGAAACTAATTGATTATACAACAACATACACAGCATAGTTCTACAGGTGAAGTCTAGAAGTATAGAATGTACTCAAACATTACTCCCACCTACCTTTATAGAGATAGAGAGGTTGTTTTTGAAAGACCATCGTTTCAAAAGAAATGTGTTTGGTGTAGGATTGCAAGAAAAATATGGCAACAACATATATAGCAAGATAAAAATTACAAATAAAGCTATAGATTACACTCCAATATTTTTAAAATCAAAATTTAGATAGTTGAAAAATATATGAATAATACTATAAGTTGTAATTTTTCTCTTATTGATATAGTAAAAATGTACATCTTAAAATATTAATCACAATATACATATAATTTTATTCTCGAAAAGTAAAACGTAATGAATATAGAAATTTGTGGTGTCTGCATTGCTACTGACTTGTTGGACTTATACAGGAACACGTGAAATTTATGTGGATATATACAATTTGACAAAGATATTCCAATTAATATTATCATCATTTTTCATCATTTATAATTTGGAAAATGATTGAGTAGATTGCAAATTCAATGCATGAAACAAGGAACCCTATAGGAAAATCAGAATTTAGTCATGTTGGACAAGTAATTAAATTAATTAAAGAATTTGATTGACTATTGTTACATCAACTATTTAATTTAGCTACTTTAATTTTTTGCAAATTAAATTTATTATTTAATTTGTTTACGGTTCATCCACAAAATATCTTCAAAAGATTTTTCCTAGTTTAAGAGTTTAGATGAGTGACTATTTAAGATAATCTTTCAATAATTAATTAATTGAATATGAAGTTCAAGATTATAACTTACTTTCAACAATTTATTTTGGCCCAATGAGGTACCCTCCAATGATTGGATGGACAAAAATTTAGTGGCTTTTATTCATATTAATAATTAAGAAATCAATAAAATATTTATATATAAATAATTAAATATGAACTTAAATATTATTTTATGTACTTTATTTGAGATTTTTATAAGAATATATAAATATCAAAACATGAATCCACTTTTGTTAGTCAGACAAATCTATTATTTACTAAATTTTGGAATAGTGTACCACTGATTCTCAGATTTCTCGATTATGAAAAAAACAAAAAATAAATACTATTAGTTCGTATTTTTTTGGTTTAAATTAAATAGCATATTGTCTTACTACATTTTAATTTATGTTTCGAGTTTTGGTCAAGAATTAAAGTTAGAACATTTCTACTATAGCAGTAATAAAGAAGATTCACGTTACCTAGTCAAAAAGATGGACCAATAAGATACTACTAAGTCTGGTCTAGTACGATTGTGATAATGTTTGAATTATGTTTATCACTAGTACAATATTTTTTTGTTGACTTTAGCTTTTATATTTATATAAAAAGTAATTGCTTAGTTTGATTTGAAAATTTTAATGCATGCATTGACTGTCATTGGGTATTATGCCGTAGGTATTAAGCTTTCAACGAAATTTTTAGTTTTGCGTTTAGGTAATACTCCATCTATCTTTAATTACTTGTTCATTTTTGAATTGACACACCAATTAAGAAAATAATTAATGACATAGTGAGTTTACCATTTTACCCCTATCAATTATGAAGTGGATGAAAAGTTCTACATTTTTCAAAGTAATTAATTATTTAATTGTTGGTATAATAGGTAAAAAAAATTGTCTTTTCTTGATTTGTCAAAATGGACAAGTAATTAGGGACAGAAGGAGTATGTTCCAATAATAAAATAACTAAATATAGTACATGTTCCTTAGTCATATAAATATGGTACTCCTTTCGTTTACATACTTTTAGTATTTGTCATATTTCGGTTTACTAGAGTTGATTTAATTAATTTTTTAAAGCTAAACTGAATTAGATTAATTTAATATTTTAAATATTAATACGATGAGAAATACATCTTAAAACGTTTGTCAATGTTCATATAGTTTAATTCTTGATAAGCAGAACGTGACAAGCAAAAATGAACGGAGAAGGAAATAAACTTGGATTAATGAACTTCATGGAAATTGATGAAACAACTATCAAGACTACTCCTTTGAGAATTTGTGCTGGAAAATGAAGCATGGAATTAGAAAATAATACCCTCTCAATACGGTCATCTAGTAGGAAGATTCAAACTAGAAGATTCAAGTACCCCACCACCATTAATATAGCCAGCAAAAATCATTAATATATAAAACAACCCCTCCAATCCCCCCTACCCCACCCCACCCCATTCCCACCCACACACCGTTATATATGAGCTGTTAATTTGGATGAATAACTGAAGTGAATACAAAAATAACTGAGTTGTTTTAAAATAAGTAGACTTGTAAAATTTATTAACTTAGGGCTTGACTTAAACAAGCCACCCCAAAATTGGCTATCTATGTACTTAGCATCATTTTAATCCGTCCAAATTTGAATCAATTGTCCTATTTGAATATAAACATCATAAAACACATTTCAATTGTTCAATATATCCTAATAATGCATATGTAATGTAACTAGTACTATGGGGAAAAAGAAAATTTACTTACATTTTACCTACTATAAAACCAGAGATTTTTTCAATTAAAATATGAATAGTCCAGGAATAATGTACTTGTCACTACTATCAACATCCACCAATTAAGTTGGAATATTAAAAGAGTTATACTATAGTGTATAATACTATATGAATTTGTTCCAAATAATAACCGATGGTCGGCACGTCTACAATAATTGTTTTAAATAATCTTTCGTCAACAAATTATAAAAGCATAAGCACTGATGCAATATGAATGGACACACGTATGAAATCATACGTAGGCGGATTCAGAAACTGAAATTTTTATGGAGTTTTATAGTAATTTTAAATCAATAAATAATACTAATTAAGCTTACAGTCAAACATTTATAAATATTTGATAAATATGCGGGAAAAGAATCAAATATACTCGAACTATTCAAAATGAGTCAGTTTTATTGTAAAAATATCCCCCTAACTATCAAAACAACTCAACCTACTAACGGTTGCTAATAAAAAAATATTGGGGTGGAGATTGGAGGTTGAATGTATGACATATAATAACATATAATTAAAAAAAAAAGTAGTAGTATATATAAACACTTCTCATTTTAATAAATAAAAAAGATTGTCATATAACCTTTTTTTTTTTCCCTTGTGACTCCTTATACATTAGGTAAGAGTGTTCATTTTTAAATATGATATCGTGTATCTTTTCTTGTATACCTATTTAAATTTTATATTATTATATTAATTATAATAGATTTTTTTTATCAACTCTAAGAATGATACGATAAAAGAGATCAAATTCAATTATATTTGGACAGAATATATTACTTATTATACTTTTAAGTCATCTCAAGTTTTAGTCGATTTCAAGCTAATAGTTGGAGGTCATTTCTGAACAACCATTAGTAAGAAAGGTATTTTCGAGTTGTTTTGACAGTTTGAGAGCGTTTCTAAGCCAAAGACGTAATGGTAAAGATATTTTAAGTCAAAAATATAACAGAGGATAAAATTGACTTTTTTTTTAGTCCAGCCTAGGAGCACCACATTTTTGCTTCTTTGGTGACTCGAACTCACAACCTTAGGGTTGAAAGTGAGAAGTTCTTATCATCCGAGCAACTCCCTCTAGTCAAAACTAACTCATTTTGAATAGTTCCAAAGTATATTTGATCTTTTTCTCTACCTATGCAGGATCGAGCCAAAAGTTACTAAGTTCACGTGAACTCACATATTATATTGTAGATCTACATGTCTCTACCAAAGTAGGGGAAAAAATATGATTATAGAGGAATCAAAATCTACAAAAATATTTCCAAAGTCAAATATGCTAAACAAAATACAATTTGTACAGTCTCAAGTCTTGATCAAGAAAAGCTCACATTCAACTTATTTGTTTTAGTCATTAAGTTTAAGTAGTTAATATGTCACTTTCTATAGTCTTAAATTACTTGTCATGTAGCTATGAAATTTCTAGGAAATTTAATTTGATTCTCCAATCTATTCTAATTCAAAACAAAAGCTTTAAAGCTAAAACGCCTAAATCTCCCTGAATGGTCTATTTTCTCAACACAAACACAAAAATGTATGATAGTTCTCTCTTTGGCCTCTTGCAAATGCTATACGAGACACTAAAGAAAGAGGCGAAATTCCTGTCAAATGTAAGCAATCAAATTCAAGACATTCGCGCTGAAATAAATCGAATACAATGCTTCTTACAAGATGCAGATGCTAAAAAACCTGAGTATGAGACAGTTCGTAACTGGATTGCAGATATCAGAGAAGTTGCTTACGATGTAGAAAATATCCTCGAGAAGTATATGCATAAAGTTGCATTGAGGAAGGATCGATCGTTGTGGAAGGAGAATATAAGTTTACATAACATAGGCATGGAGACAAAAGATGTTATGTCCAGAATTGATAACATAAAAAGATGTATGAAAACTTATGTTGATACAGGCATAAGAGCTATATGTCTAGGGGATACCTCGTCGGAGAGAAGTCAATGGTTAACGAGATCTTACTCTCATCTTGTTGACGAAGACTTTGTTGGATTAGTAGAAGAGGTGAATAAGTTGGTTGATGAGTTGATCAATGATGAAAATGATGAGTTTTATGTAGTTTTCGCGATATGTGGAATGGGAGGTCTTGGTAAAACAACACTTGCTCGGAAGGCTTATCGTCATGGTGATGTACAAAGTCATTTCCAGGCTTTCGCGTGGGCTAGTATCTCGAGACAATGGCAAGCAAGAGATGTGCTGCTGAGCATCCTCATGAAACTTGAACCTGAAAATAGAACAAGGATTAATATGATGATGGATGATGAGCTTGTTAAGGCACTTTACAATGTTCAGCAGAGGAAAAGATGCTTGATTGTGTTGGATGATATTTGGTCCATAAATTTTTGGAATAGCGTAAAACATGCTTTTCCGAAGGGGAAGGGGAGTCGAAGCAAGATTTTGCTCACAACGCGCAAGAAGGACGTGTGTACACACATAGATCCAACTTGTTTCCTGTTTGAACCACGATGTTTGGATGCTGAGGAGAGTTGGAAGTTACTTCATAAGAAAGCATTCCCCAGAGTAAACACTCCAGGTAATTTTCTTGAATTCAATGAACTCTGATTTCAATAATTTGGTCAAATAGGTGTAAAATCATCTATAGTTGGCATCAGAAAAGGAAATAAGATTAGAAACTAATCGTCTATAATTGGCATAATACATAAACAGACACTGAAACTTGGCCTCACCTGGAAAGTAAGCACTCCAACTTTTGAGAGTGCACATCTAGATACTTCAATTTGGTGTCAAACGGCAGCTGAACACTCCAACTCGTCCCAATTGTGTCTTGTGGTCACCCGATGTTGAGGTGGGATGTAAATTTTGGAGGTAGTCTAGATGATCATTTTGTAACTTGGAGTGTTCAACTGACATAGTGGAGACGAGTTGAGGTGTCTAGATGTGCATATTGAAAGTTGGAGTACTTTTTTTTTTTTTTTTTTTACCGTGGTTTCCGGGCGTCGCTTTGCGAACCCGACTAGCTGTACCCACCGGGTCCCGCTGTTTCAAGGCGGGTCCACCACGGTTAGTTCCACGGGGCCCTGGAGACGCGGCCGGTTTGTAATGCCTCCAGTGGCCCTGCTGGGGCTCGAACCGGCGACCTGAAGGACTTTGTCCCAGGCCTTTACCAGCTGAGCTACCCCTCAGGGTTAAAGTTGGAGTACTTACTTGTCAGCTGACCTCAAGTTTAAGTGCTTGTGTCTCGTGGACACTAGATGTTGACGTGACACATAAATTTTAGAAGTGTCTAGATAATCATTTTGTAACTTAGAGTGTTAAAGTGACATAGTGGAGACGGGTTGAGGTGTCTAGATGTGCATACTGAAAGTTGGGAGGGCTTACTTTCTAGCTGACGTCAAGTTTGAGTGTATGTTTGTGTGCATGCCTTCAATTTTCTAAAAGCACAAAACTTGGAGGTATTTCTTATTGAAGATATATGTTTATAACATAACTGCTACTCACAGCGAAATGAAATTCCTCTCTTGTTTTTGTGTAGATTTAAAGATTGATTCGGAGTTGGAGAGGCTTGGAAAGGAAATGGTCAGTAAATGCGGGGGCTTGCCTTTAGCCATTATTGTTCTTGCTGGACTTTTGGCTAGAAGACCTAAAATCGATGAGTGGAGAAGGACGTGCCAAAACCTTAACTTACACATGAGTGGTGAAAGTTTTGAACAAGATGGAGGAATTCATGGTGTCCTTGCTCTGAGTTACTACGACTTACCTTATCTGCTGAAGCCGTGTTTTTTGTACTTGGGTAACTTTCCTGAGGATCAAAAGATTTCTGCGCGGAGGTTGTATCAGCTATGGGCTGCTGAAGGTATCATATCATTGGAAGGTAACCGAGGAGAGGAGACAGCAATGATGGAGATAGGTGAACGTTATCTGCACGAGTTAGCTCAAAGGTACATGGTTCAGGTTCAACTAGAGGAAACAACTGGAAGGATCAAATCTTGTCGATTTCATGATCTCATGAGAGATACATGTTTGTCGAAAGCAAAGGAGGAAAACTTTCTCAAGACAGTTTCTCCTCAGCATTTGCATCAATCAATGCACTGCTCTACTTCAGCTACAGCAACATCAACACGTACTGTACGTAGACTGTCTATCACAGTAGACAATGACGTTCAGAACTATTTCTCTACTGATGATAAGTCATTTCAGCATGTTAGATCAGCTTTATTCTTTCCCATACAGACAGGACGCGAAGGCACAGAATATCCCCTGCCTTTATTCCAAGGTCTGTGCAATAACTTCTCAATGTTGAGAGTTTTGCATCTTGAGAAGTTTACTTTTGTGGAAATTTTACCAAAAGCAATTGGTAATTTGGTGTACTTGAGATACCTGAGCTTAAGACATTCACACTTTCAAAAACTTTCGTCGTCTGTAGGTAATCTTAAGTACCTACAGACACTTGATTTGAGGGTGAATTTCTTCTCGTACTTAACTTTACCGAATACCATACAGAAGTTGCAAAACTTGAGGAATTTATATCTTCCTCCTTCACATCAACACACGTATAAGTTAGACCTGAGTCCGTTACACCACTTGGAAATACTGAAGAACTTCGATACACAAGTTTCTCCTTTTCGAGATCTTTTCAAGTTAACAAAACTTCAGAAACTATCAGCTGTTCTCTCATTGGAGTCGTACGAGATGGAAGAGATGATCAAACACCTCAACCTCAGATCAGGTAGACTCAGGGAAACATCTTTTCGCATTTACTACAGATTTCATTCAGAAAAAGAGGTAAACATTCTGAAGCTACTGTTAGGTTGTCACCATCTCCGGAAGCTAGATTTAATCGGACACATCACTCAGCTACCAGAACACCACTCATTTTCACAAAGCCTCACAAAGTTAACCTTGAGAAAGAGTGGACTTGAAGAAGACCCTATGGTCATTCTTCAAAAGCTGCCTAAGCTATTCACCTTGTCATTACGTGGAAACGCGTTTATTGGAAAGGAAATGTGTTGTTCTCCACAAGGATTTCCACAACTCAAAACTCTTAAACTCCAGGGGCTACTAAATTTAGAAAGCTGGAGAGTGGAGACAGGGGCACTGCCAAATCTAGTTCATCTAGAAATCGACGAATGCAAGAAATTGGAGATGGTTCCTGAAGGATTGATATATCTAACTAAAATACAGGAGGTAATGATTATAAACATGCCAGACAACTTCCAAAACAGGCTGCAAGAGGTTCAAAGGGAAGAATATTACAAAGTTCAGTTCAGGAAAAATTTTGACACAAAGAAGATTTCAAAGATCAAATTCAAAATGCGAATATCAGGTACTTTGCAGTCCATTTCATTATAAGGCTTAAACCGCGTACTCTAAGAAATGAATTATACCTTTATTGCTGAGACTACGTGCCTGTATCTCGATAATTGATATATACATCACTTATTTTCCATGTTCAGGACCGATGTTTGGCGGATTATTGCAGACCATTTATCCATCAACAGTACCAAAGGAATGGAAGATGTTATAAGGATTCACGGGGAAGATATTATCGATAAGGTTAGTGAACAAGACACTCATAAACTTGTCAATTTATTCATAATAAAGCACTAAAACTTCATTTACCTTCATCCTATAAACTTCGCGGTTACCCATCCATACTGTATACAATCTTCTGTGCAAAACATGCTTAGCTAGTTAGCTGTCATTATGAAAAGAACAGGAATTAGCTACACATATTTTGCTAATACGCCACGCTAAACAGAAATACTGCTCCTAGAATAACTGCATCTGCATCTTAAGATAGTATCATGCATAACACATTTGAAGTCATTTGTCATCAAGAAGAGTCATTTCGACTAACACATGCTTCATGCAACAAAAATGAGTGTACAATATTGGTTAAAATCTCTTTTTGTAAATATGTTTTTTCTTTAAAATTTTGTTGTTGCCACTTCTATTAGAGTAGCAATAATATAATAGTCATTAGTTTACTCCTTCTACTTCTTCTTTTTTTGGATGATTAGTGTTTGAATATGTACAAAATTTAAGAAATGAACAAATAACTTTGAAACAATATTAGTTTACTCTCTGGTTTTTTTTGGTATGATATTAGTGTCAATAACTTTCAAACACAAACTAAATATGTTTAACATACCAAAAGTAACCTTAGTATCCTACTGGCTTTTCAACATTTCATCTTAATTAGTATAAGAGGAGCATGTGACTAATTATCGGATTTAAGCAGAGGCGAATTCAGAATTTGAAAATTTTGAATGTCATTATTGAGCATATATATAATTTTAAAGATAATCATATAAATATTTTTTTCTAAAAAAATTTGGACAAACCCTGATCTCTTACTAGCTCCAGCAGCAAATAAATCCAAATATTCTTACATCATGGAGCTAAACAAACGTTACAACTTCTTGAGAAGAAGAAAAAATATCCTAAAAAAAGTCAGCAAAGCAATGACACGTATGAAAGTACGTGTCAAAAATTAAGAAACAAATGTCACTTGCTAGGTATAAAATATTCATGCTTGTAAATGCCACTTGTACTATATATTATATTTCAAAAAATGCTCTAACACATGCATTGTGACACGAACATCTTGAGTTACATTTCTTTTCACACTTCTCTTCACATTTTTTAGTCTAAAGTTTATTTCTGTCACACATTTGGTATTTTCATTTAGAGTATTTTAAGAATAAGAGGGGGGAATTTGTAGAGAGAAAATTAAATGGCGGTTGCTGGGGTTGATCGGGATGTGGCGTTGTCACCGGAGGCACCGCTGGCTCCGGTGACGGTTGAACGGAAAGTTAGGACTGATTTGGAAACTTCTATTCCAAAGCCTTGTAAGTTTATTTTTCGAAAATTTTAGTTCAGTTGGTTGATTACCTGAATTTTTAATTTTTTGTTAGATTTTTTATGTAAAATAATTTTCATGCCATATAGGATTTGCAATTAAAAATTTACTCCACTAGATATAGAAAGTTATTTCTTTTTAAGTAGATTAAAGAAATTGATGTAAATAGATGAATTGAAAGAGCATGATGATTGTGATCATGTGTTGGATTTCTACATGCTTTCTTTTAATCAGGGATCTCGAGTTTGGGTTTGAGATCCTGGTAACGGAAAAAATCCTGATGCCTGTCATTCCCAACACTACGAAAAATCGCTATATTTTCACTGAAGAATATTCAGGGGTTGTTCTCAGAGATATTTTGATTGAATTTGTGGGGAAAAAAAAATAGTTTATATGGAAAATTAAGAAGTTCCTCACATTGCCTAGCGAAATTGTTAAAAAAAGAAAAAGTTCCTCGAATCTATTTTTCACCATGTATTTTTCGAGTGAGCTAGTTTGGCGGGAAATGAGTTGGAAAATTATGATCTATAGCACAAATTTTCCACTGATTTCGAGGCGGTGGGGAAGTCAAAGTCAAGGCTAACGTCATTTTGCTATATAGCTATAACACTTAATATTTATTATTAATATATTAAACATCTTATTAATAGTAGAGCCACTTTTGTACTACTAAACAAAGGGAACCGAAAATAGTAGCTTATTTTAGTTTACATTCAAATCCGGTGTGAGAATCTGTTTTTCACCATGCATTGTTCGAGTAAGTTGAGTGAGTTGATTTGGTGAGAAATGAGTTGGAAAATCACGATCTATAGAACAAATTTCTATTGATTCGTGGTGGAAATTTTTTCTAGAATTTGTATTCCACCACTCATTTTTCAAGTGAGTTGGTTTGGTGAAAAAATGAGTTGGAAAATCACGATCTATAGCACAAATTTTTCCCCTGATTCGCGGTAGAATTTTTTTTTGTTTCTAGTGGTGCAAATCCGGATTTAGTTGGGTCCGGCAACATAATGCCGGTGTCCATACTGGACACCAGTTTTTGGGAAACCAAAAAGAATAGTCCGGACCCGAGCCATTGTACTTGTATACCAAAATTTAGCCTCATCAGAATGGAGGTTCTGATTAGCATAACTATTAATTGAAGGGATCAATTAATCGAGGTTCGCTTGGATCGTTATATGTATCTCTCATCTTATTTAAAAATTGCTGAGCCTCAACAGGGACATGTTACAGTTTAGTCGATTTTTTTCCTTCAATTTTTTGCTAGTTTTGCACGAGTATTGTTGCAATATGATGTTTAAATATACGTGTTATGTATATTCAGATTTGGCAAGGGGATTGGTGGCTCCTGATATGGAGCACCCCATGGAACTCCTGGACATAGGCACCACGGCATGAGCGTTCTTCAACAGCACGTTGCGTTCTTCGATCAGGATGAGAATGGCATTATCTACCCTTGGGAAACTTACTCCGGTAATCATTCCATTTCCGCTGCTCGTACTATAGGCAGTTCTATATTAATGTAGATAGGTAAATAGTGAGATTAAAATTGGGGGAAAAAAAAACAAAATGTAGCGTTACATTCTAATGTTATGTGATTACTTTCGACATAACTTTCGACACAGACTAAATATATATATATATTTAAAAACTATTCAAATCTTAACAAATATGAGATTTTGAACCCATAATTTAACATTACAACAAGTTCAATACTAAGAATCTTAAAAGTTGAATCCATTAAATTTAAAGTTTGAACTGTTTTAATTAGGTAAGGATATGATTTATTGACCATTTTCGGAGGGAAAATGTGTCATCGGTAGCATTTAGACTTGACATTTTATTATGTGCAATTCGGAAGTACTAGATGCGATCAAATATCCAACATGATGTATATAGTTCTTGTATATTTGAACTAAAAATTTTGTGCGATCCTTTTTCCCCTCACTTTAAACAGGGCTACGTCAAATTGGCTTCAATATGATAGCATCTCTCATTATTGCCATTGTCATCAATGTTGGTTTGAGTTATCCTTCTTTGCCGGTAAGTTCCTGCTTCGAGTTATCGTACTTCAGTAATTTGCAAGTAAGTTGATCTCTTCTTAGAAGATCATTAAATCAAAAGAACATTGCTAGTAGGATTTTGGTCCTTTTTGTTCCTCAAAATGGATTAGTATATTTGGTTAATGAGCCGAGTTTCTATCCGAAACAATCTCTCTACCTAGGTAGATGTAAGATGTGTGTACGTCCTACCCTCTCTCGATCCCACGTATACAGATGTAATTTGTTTTGTGTATATGTTCTTCTTTCGTTGATATTCGATGTGATACAGGGGTGGATACCTTCTCCTTTCCTCCCAATATATATTTACAACATACATAAGTGCAAACATGGAAGTGATACTCACACCTATGACAGAGAGGGAAGGTTAGTATACTAATTCCTTTATTATTCCCTTTCAAGTCGATATCAACATCCTCGTCAAGTCAAATGGACGATTTTACCTTCTCTTATAGGTTCATGCCCGTGCATTTCGAGAACACTTTTAGCAAGTACGCTCGCACTCTGCCTGATAAGCTTACTCTTGGAGAACTCTGGGAAATGACCGAAGGCAACAGGGAGGCGTTCGACTTATTTGGCTGGTACCTAATTTAATTATCTATCAATCCAAACCCGAACGTCCCCTAAGTAATTTCTCTTAAGGCTTTCAACAATTGCAGGGTGGCGAGTAAAATGGAGTGGGGAATTCTGTATGTTCTCGCTAGAGATCAAGACGGTTTTCTATCGAAAGAAGCTATAAGGCGTTGTTTTGATGGAAGTTTGTTTGAGTATTGCGCCAAGATACAAATGGAAAATGAAGGATGGTTGAAGGAAGAATAGTTGGCAAGACTATTATAAAGCAACATTGTAATAAATAAGGCAATAATAGCCTTGAATTGAACTTGTATTTTGCGCATGTTAATTGCTGATAGTATCACCCGAATTGGCGTTAAGAGTGCTACTAGTCGAATGTTCGTGTAACTGGTGTTCGATAGAGTGCTACTAGTTGAATGTTCGTGTATTTTTACCAGTGTATTTTTACCAGGTCTTTCGTAAGTCTTTGTACCAGAATCGAATCTCTGTAGTATCTGATCTTTGTAAAGCTTTTGTGTTTTGGTACGAATTAACAAAATTTATGACCTGAATTTCGATTTACATGTCTCGAAAATTTAGTCTATCGAGCTATTAAGATTTTTCTATATCATATGTTTCATCATAATGCAACTAATTTTTCTAATGTTTTCACCATTTTTAGCGAAATCTATAAGACATTCGTCCCCAATTTGGGGGGGGGTTTGATGGAAGATATTTCGTTGTCGATTTGGGGTTCTGATAGAAGATATTGTTAAGGTTATATACCAACCAAGTAAATATGTGATTCTGCTCTAACAGAAGTGCATCTGGCTCTGATGTAAGATATTGTCGAGGTTATACATCAAGTACACCCGTGATTATACTCTACTCTGACAGAAGTGCGCGCAATTTAGCTCTGGTAAGATTATTTTACATTTCCCATTTGTTGTTGGAGTCAAGAACACATATGTTTGTAAAATGAAGTGTATATATATATAATTGACATCTACAAACACAACTTTGTTTGTTCAAGCTGGCAACTCATCAAACCTATAATTCAAAAAAATTCAAGAGATTTGACAAAGTATCAACTTTTGTCAATACACATTTACAAAAATTTACATGTTCTCCTCTTCACTGTGAAGTTCCATTGAATAATTATTATTGACAATTTGTGTTAATTATATAGTATAGATTTACAAAATTTACATGTCCTCACTTGTGAAGAAGTTTCATTGAGTTAATTATTATACTAAACTTTATATGTCGAAATGTTAATTATTCCCTTTTATATAAATGGGACATTTTGGCTCTGCTACTTGAAAAAACTAAGCATAGTGTAAAAATCTGCCTGATGAAATCCAAGATTGGTGGACGACGACGACTGAAATTATTTACACCAAAGGTATCTTATATGACTTCATCAGTTCTTCTTCTCGTGTAGATCGAACTTCAAAACACCAAAAAAAAAGAAAAAAAAAACTTATTAGTGAAATGTTATATAGGTATCTCCAGGAAAGAATAGTTATTAGGTTCTTGAAGAGTACTTGTTCATCCGCGGAGTTTAGTGTAACTGTCCATCTGTACAATACAGAGGAGGGCAAATATCGTAGGGACTCGTAGATGAGTGACAATTCGAAGTGAAAATCCGTCCATTATTGTCATGTCCAGATGAAGTATTCATCATGTTAGGATCTTGATGATATGTAAAATTGAGTTTTACATCTTGATGATCATGTGTGATATCTTCATTTGTACCACATGACATTGTCTTAGCACTAGCTTCACCAAATTCATCGTTTTTCGCGAATCTTCCTCTTACCCTTGGTCTACTATCTGCTAAAGTTTTCCTGCATGCATACTAACACAATACGGACACATATATAGATACTGTCAGTGCATAAAACTTTATAAACATATCTTATTCGTTGAGTTAAGGGGTTGGACCTTGATTTTCTTGCTGAAATTCCTTTCGTTTCGTTTCTTCATGTATCTATGAATCTTCTCCCTCCTCTCCTCCGGCGTGCACTTAACAGCTTTATAAGTAGTATCTTCCAAATTTGTTATTTCTGATGCCAAAGGGTTAGTACTAACCAAATGTTGACTCTCATTGCTTAGTGCCTTCATCAATGAAAATTTTAAATGAATCAATACTATAAATTGTGTTTGAACTAGTTTTTGTCAGATTAAACATACCTGAAGCTCTTCAGAAGTACAGTTATAGACTCGTGGCAAGGAATCAGGACAGAATAGTCTACTACTATCTCCTTGAAAATCCATTTCTTGTACTGGTGGGAACTCTGTTCCGAAAAACAAGCTACCTCCCGGGGCAGCAGCAGCAGCAGCAAGTATAGCTGAACATTCAGCATTAGGCATGTTGGTGTTTGTGTTTAAAGGTAAGTAACTCGCGAGTGAAGGATCAAGAAGGGGAGATGATGAAGATGTAGGAACGCGCATGTAAGAAGGTATGGAGGACAAAGAATCGTCTTCGTAGTAATGTCCTAATGATGGCCCCATAAGTGGAACGATAGGGGGTTGATGATGATGATGATGATGGTCATGATGATACTGTTGATGAAGGGATCCATCCGAAACATGATCTGTCATTTTCATATGTTGATCGTTGAGAGAATTGATATCGAATAAATCTTGATGTTGAGTATGAAGTAAATGATGTGGGATTGAGAAATTTCCATCTTGTGTGAATTGTATAGAAGCGGATATATCATTCTCGATTTGATCTTCTTGAGTATCAAACATGATCGAGAGATCGTTGTTGTTCATGTTGTTGTTGTTGTTATCATCGTTGATTCTTGAAGGGCTAATAACATTAGAGGTAACTGTTGTAATATTTTTTTCTTCTTGTTTTCCTATAGTGTTACTAAACTTGTTCATATCAAGATTGTTTGAATATGAACTTTGTTCTTCATAGCTACAACAATTTGAGCTAGAAGCAACTTCTGAATTTTGTACATTTGGGAAAAATTCAGATTCACAAAAATTCAGAATTTGATCACTAAGAGGACTTGACATCTCTTCCTGCAAAAAATTTAAAAAAAAAATTCAAGTATTTGTCTAAAGTGCATGAATGTTATGTTATTTCTGATATAACAGAACACTAGAGATGCCTAATACGTCCCCCTTCTAAAAAGTCTATCTAAAATACATGTATTTGTGCTTCATGTGACATGTGGGATCCAAAAATGAAAAACAAGAATTGAAAAGGAAAAAAAGCAAAGAATATGGAAGTTTTCATAGCATTTTGATACTCCAAATTAGACAAGCAATGAGAACTTTAGTATAGCACTAATATATATTATCCCATTATGATATATATGCATGTGAAGTGCTCTATCTACAATAAAGTTCAAGAATCATTTTAACACTCTTGGAAAAACATAATCAATACACTTTGAAAAAGCTAAATATTCCATTATTTGTAATTCCAAAATGAAAAGGATGATCTACATATACTAGTTTTTAATTAATTAAAAAAGAAGAGTCTCAAGAATAAGATAAGAATTCAATAATATAATTCATGATCTCAAATTAAAACACCATTAGAGCTAATTAAAACAAGATATGTACAATGGAAAGTTGATGTTCTTGAATATTAACCATGTTCTTCAACATTTTCTGGAGGAAAATAAATCGAATTTTTTATTTAAATCTTTTGAATTTCCATCTTGAATTTATGATTTCCAAATTTTTTTTCATCTTACCTTAACAAAATGCAAGTTTTGAACCAATGGAAGAGAGAATTCCATGCAAGAAAATAGGGGAGAGAGAAAAACAAGAAGAGATTTTGATTTGAAGAACAAGAAGGTATATAATATGAAGAATTTTTTTTATGGGCGTGGGGGTGGGGGGTTGGAGGGGGTGGGGGTATGGGAAAATATAGAAATAGAAGTTAGTTATATATATATAGGTACATGTTTGACCGTACAATTGAGTTACATACACCTAGGTTGTCGGTGGGCCAGACAAATTATGGTTTTTTGACACGTGGAGGCATGTAATAATTTTATGAGTTTTTTGGTCAAGTTAATTTGTACTTAATTTGCACAAATTAAGTTGGCCTAGGATCATTTGACTTAGTGTTATAAGATTAATCAAATGTTTCAGGTTCGAATCTTAAGAGTGGAGGTGTTTTTGATAGTGATTGTCGATGGCTTACTCCTTTGGTGAAGTTTAAAATATTTAGATTAATAAATTTCGATAGGTTATTATTAAAAAGAAAAAGAAAATATTGCATATTTCATGTTTTTACTATGAAAGTTGAAGCATTGCATGAATAATTAAACAAAGTTTATTTTAGTTCCCGACTATCCGTTTAATTTGGAGCTTCATATAATTCAAATTCACATTACGTAAGTCGTATTAAAAGAAGAAAAAAGATCTTTTAATTTCAATTGCAAAAAGCTTGAACAAATAATTTCTCATTAAAGAATATGAAGAAATTTTATTCATTTCACATTTCATCGCAAGTCACAATCCTTGGTAATGACTATTAACTAAAGTTAATTATGCTTATTTTGATAATTAAAACCATTGTTCTATACGTACGAATTCTATTAATCTCAAAACATGATACATGAGAAATTAAGAATTTATTGATGTTCCAATACCAATTATCAAATAGTTTAGTTGTTTTTACTCTTGTATGTATATTTCCAAAGACAAAAAGATTATGAGAGTAGATTCAAGAATAGAGATTGAGGGTGGTGTGTTTAATAAATTTTTCTTCCTGAAAATAAGTTTTTTAAAAATGAAAAAAATAATTTTTTTATTATGAAAAATAAGTTTTACAAATGATATTTCACATTGATTATATATATACTTGAGCCTTACCTTCTAAGTTTCAATGCACCTCATCTTCATCACCACTCTAATAGCCCCCGCCTCTGCTGCCTCCATCACTTATAAATTTATCTCAATTATATAAATAATTTTAGAATAATATTTTTTGTTTATGTACCAAAGATTAAAAAGTAAGTAAAATAAACCTACTAATTTTCTTGAAAATTAATATTTTCCTTTGTACCAAATACACCTTGAGTTTGAGAGAAATTTGAATGGATGGAATCTCTACCACGATAGGAATTTACTATACTCAGTGTGATATGATTTTTCTTTTAGTCTATTTAAAAAGAATATTTTTTTGTATTTTTTTGATAATTTAGTTTTTAAAATGTGTTAATAGACAAGATGATATAATTAATCACATATGTCCAAGCTATATATTTTGTTTTATTTTTTGCACACCT